ATGTTTCCAGGCATATTTGATTGAGAACTAAAATATTCTGTAATATGTTTCAGTTTTTAAAAAAAATGCACCAGGTATTACCACAGAAAACTTGTAAAGATATTGAATTCAAAATAGTATGTACCTAAAACAGGAGAAAAAAACCCATTTCAATATGAAAGGAGACAATATACTTAAAAGTAACTAAAATCATGATTTTATAAGAGACAGTAATAAACAGTATCAACATAAAAAACATGTTTCATACTGGTTTACATTTGATATTCTTCAAAGGACAATTACAACAGAGAAAAAAACATTAAAAATGAAAAATAGGGATGGTATGGTATGAATTTAAACACCCTACAAACACTGTTAAGCTATCTACGAGTGGAACCTGATACCATTTCAAAACTTCTTTCCAAATTATAGAAGGTATGGTTTGGGATGGTAAGGTACAGAAGTTATAAAAATGAGCCCCCCCCCCCCCGTAAATAAACTCTTAGATTATTTTTCACAGGCAGAATAACTGAAGTTTCGTACATCTTCAGTAAAAACTGAGCCAAATGGGTGGGATTTATTGATTTTTTTCGTTTGCTTCTTTGAGTAAAGGGAAGCACATGGACTGAATAATGGCCATTTAATTTTAGTACTGGGGAAAAGTACAACAGACAGACAGAAACGACAAAGGGAAAGTAAAGAAGTAGGACCTCCCACAGTGGTCCTCCAACAACCCACGGGATTAATTGAAAACTCCAAAGACAATCTGAATTTACTCCACACCCAAGTTTTTCTTCACCTTGTTCCTGTAACACGGTACAAATAAAAAATGTTAAAAACCTCAAGAGTTAATCAATTCGGACCAGAGCAAATGTTAACCGATTCTGTTCCAAGATTAACACCTAATCTGTAACTAATAAGAATGAAGCAGATTCAGATCATAGTTACACTGTGCATCTAAAAAATTCCCCCCAGTAATCAGGAAGGATATTTACACAAAACATGATATCCCATTACAGCTGTAAACAGAATCAATTCTAATCTCAAGCAGGAAAAACATGTCATTTAGCGGAGGGGCTTTTAGGAAAAGAAGGTAATAAGATCAGATATTAATCATGGCTTTGATTGAATTTTAGATTGGTTGCTGATTTCATACCTCCATGTTTACAGAAAATAAAGAGCTAAATTATCTTCAAATGAGGACATAAAACCCAATAGAGAAATTTATTATGTACATTAAGGGACTAGGAAGTAAATGAATGGCTAAACAAATAGAAAAAAAACACACCTAAAAGTACATTAGATGCGTCACATTCAGAAGTCTTCAGAAATACTAAATTAACGTATGCAGGCAAATAATGAATTACTGCCAATATTACTCGTATATCTTAAACCTATTGCATATCATTGTTTGTCCTCTTGCTCTGATATATATTTAACCATAATGGGTTTATTTCACTTTCAAAAGTAAAGATTGACTGTTACATTGACAAAATTGTGGCATTTCAAGTTTTGTTTCAATGATAATTTCAGTATCTTTTTTAGGCACCCATTAAACACAATTTAGATGATCTAGGAAGCAGTCGATTCTCCTAGGGAGTCCTTCAAATTCACATATCTACAGGAGACTTTTTTTTTCTCATAGGAATCACAGTTGTTGTCATTCCACAAAAGCAAGAAGAGGGAGACATAAGGAACAATAGAGGGGTAGCAAAGAGGTCAACTAGCCAGTGGCTCCCAGCAACCATACGTAGAAAACTAGTGTGGGAATGAGGGTCAGGGGTCACCACAAGAACAGACAAATCAGGAGCGTGAAAGAAGTTTTCACTTTGAATAAGATAAACTGTAGTATAGAGATATAATCATACAACGGGTGCCACCACATTCCCTCTTAAAACTCATGATGAAACCGATATGTACATTTTGAAATAATGCACATTTTATAATTTTTTAAGAATAAAAACACTCTAAAATTTGAAAGCCAATATTGCAATTTCCACTTACTAAGAATAATGAGTTTCTCATTTTTAAGAAAAAGTATTGAAACAATCTTTTTTAAAGGCAAAAAAGATATTAATCTCAGAATTTACAAACACCACTTATGGCACGTGAGACGCAAAAGATCAGTCTGATTGATAATCAATCTTATTTCTTTTCTTAAAACATTATAATTGCGTTATGAGTTGTAACGGGTAACTACTCAATATGGATTGCTAGCAGAGCGAGAACACAATACAAGCAATGACTAATGTATTTATTGTCTTGCTTTGGAAAGAAGCATCTGCAGCACTGGAACGAATTTTATAAGAACTGTAGACAGACTGATTACACATATGATGAAACTGATATGAAACTTACTAAACTGAACTAAGTGCCTTGAAATTATTGCCTTAAAAAACTCAACTAAAAGTCCGAATTTCATGTCTACACCTCGAGTAACATTTTCCGTTCCCACTGAAAACAAAGCAATTACACCCCCCCAAAAAAAAACACTTAAAAAAAACATGTGAGGCATCGTCGTAAAAGCAAGAAGGTCATTTTAAATGAGGATCCCAATAACAAGATTTAAAGACCAACTTCGGATAGATGCAAAAATGAATAAATGAACAGGTCAAAAGCTACAACCTATAAAGACTAAATGAAAGAAAACGCGGGACAAAAAGTGAATGAAAAGACAGAATGAAAAAGTATAAGACTGGGAAAAAATAATTAGAGAGATTCACATGAATTTCCATGACGTGATCACACGAACCTATCATAGTGAGCACGTGGCAGGGAGCATCAGAAGGAAAGGGCTTACATAAGAGTGTTCTGTTGTAATTGTCCTTCCTACACAACCATAAACTTCAAATGACACCCAGTATCGATTACATCAACGGACCAGGGCAAATGCAAATCAAAGAGGGTAACATAATATGAGAGTAGAGGCCAACAGTGAAAATTCTAACAAATATTGATTGCAGTATTTCCTTTTGCAAAATGATGAAACGGAAATTAAAAACATTATAGAGAGTTAAATTGAGATTTTTTTAAAAAAGGGCATTCAAAGGTCATGAAACAGCCGCAGTAGAAGTCAGAAGTCAAACACTCGTTTCCAATTTTAGTTAGCATAAAACAAATATTCTGATTACACTCGCCGTCCCCAAAGCTGAAAATGACACATAACTAGCATCTCTGTTAAAAAAGTAAGGGTACGGGGTGGCGCTACTGGTAAAGTATACGTAGTGTAGCCTGCTTAGTGTTCAACTGAGGGCTCTTGTGAGCAACATAATATGGTGAGCTAAACCAGTTCAGAAAAAGACAGTATCATCAAAGATTCTCTACTACTGGTCAAGACTCTTTGGTATCATCCCACCACTGATGCCGTACAATCAAATGTATAAAGCTATTTACTCTGTTAGGGTTAATCAACTTTTGGAACAGAAAACTCATTAACGGAATCATTAATAATAAATAAGAAGAAAACAAACTTCTGCCCATAACAAATGCCATGATCTTGGTAGTGTAGCTTTTCACAAGGAAAACAATTATTGTGCTCACAATAGTACTGCTTGATCGAACAAAAAAAAACCAAAAAACAAAAAACAAACCCATAATTGTGTCAAAACCCTGTCATATTATGCACATGGGCGCAAAAGTTGGACAAATAACACAGGGATTGATTGATATCATGTTTGTTCTATCCATAAATCTTGAAACAGGCATTGATTGCTATCATGTTTGTTCTATCCATAAATCTTGAAACAGGCATAAAACAGACACATTTGATTTGTTGTTCTTTCTCTGGGACTTGGAAAAAAAGACAAAAAACCCAAAGAGATTAACTGAAGAAATCATATGACCAAATTGTCATAGACAGAAACAGCAATATAGGTCATCAACAAGTATACGTAAAATATATTGTAAGTAAACTTTAACCACTGAGCATTCACATAGAAACTCATATAAAACTGAAGAAAAAAAATTAAAATGACATAAGAAAAAAAAATGGATTATAAAGGTGTGAGGGAAGCACACCAAACAATCTTCTTCAATGGCTCTTTGGGTGGGTAACTCGTTAGGTCGAAGAGGAGAAAGAAAATAGCATGCACTATGTATTCCAAATATTATGCAAAGACAAACCATGCAATACTAGGATATCAAAGCTCTACAAAGGCTACATGTTTTATTATAAGCAGTACACCTCACACCGTTATATATCAGCAAAGCTCTTAGTCTACAAGCACAGACAATCCTCATGTTGGATCACTATTCTCACAAAATATAAACACTTCCACCAAAGAAAAGCATAAAGCTGACATGAAATAAAAATCCTGTTCTCCATATCATACTTGAAAAACAAATAATAAACATAAAACCCCCAAAACAAAACAACAACTATACCATTTAAAAAACTTAGCAAAAATACACAAAATGATCTAATAAAAACTCAGAACAAACAATATAGAGTGAAAAATGATTTTTATGCCTATACTATATAGCATGTTACTAATTAGCATGCTAAAAAAATAACATGGGAAAATCTAAGCAGGGTGCTGTCCGATTGCTGAGAGTGGCCTTCAGCAAGGACAAAGCCTTTCACTGAATAGTCTATCAGCTGTTATCGCAATGACTTTAATATGATTAACATGCTCCAGTAAAGGGGGCATCAGTATTCAAGCCTTGTACACTCTTCCCTGATTACCTTGGAGAGTTGACTTTACAACACAGCTTCCTCCTTTTACTGCTGCACACTGATCCCCCCCCCCCCCAACCCCCCAAACCTACCCCTGGTCATTACAGGTGAACAGTATAGCACAGCTGGAACGACCAATACACACACACACACACACACAAACATAGGGTGTGTGTGTGTGTGTGTGTGTGTGTGTGTGTGTGTGTGTGTGTTTGTGTGTGCGGGTGTGTGTGTGGGTGTGTGTATATGTGTGTTTTTTTGTTTGTGTGTGTGTGTGTGTGTGTGTGTGTGTGTGTGTGTGTGTGTGTGAGCTTGAGAGCGTGTACATGTCTTTGTGTGCGTGTGAGTGTGTGTGTGTGTGTGCATACATATACAACACAAATACATGTTGGACAGATAAATACATGTATGTAATATATCTATATCATATATGCGTTTAGGTATACGACGTATCAATGTCTGAAGATCCATGACGTCACAGCTGTTTGGTCCAGTGAGCACTCAGGGCTGCCGACATGCTCATCAGGCTCACCGTCCTGCCCTGGTCGCTGACCAACAGCCTGAATAGGAAAAGAAAAATAAAGGGAATAATTATCTAAGAGTTGTTGTCGCTGTTGTCATTGTTGCCGTTGTCGCTATTGTTGTTGTTGTTGCTGTTGTTATGGTTCATGTTGTTGTTGTTGTCGCCGTTGCTATTGTTGTTGTTGTCGATGTTGTTATTCTTGTTGTTTGTTGTTGTCGATGTTGTTGTTGTTGTTGTTGTTGTTGTAGATGTCGTTGTTGTAGTTGCTGCTGTGGTTATTGTTGTTGTTGTCGCTGTTGTTATTGTTGTTGTTGTTTTCGCTGTTGTTATTGTTGCTGTTGTGAGCGTATTGTTGTCGTTGTCGTGAGCGTGTTGTTGTTGTAGTAGTTGTTGTAGTAGTTGTTGTTGTAGTTGTCGCTGTTGTTGTTGTTGTGAGCTTGTTGTTGTTGGTTGCGGTGATGGTGGTAGTAAGAGAAATGCAACATCCAAGTAGACAGACAGAGATACTCGTTTGTTTCATCAAAGAAAGAGAAGCAAGAAAGAGTAACCCGTTGACATAATAAAGGCCATTTCGTGCAGGGGAAAAAAGTAAGAAACAGAGGCAGAAAAGAAAAACGAAGGGAAAGTAAAGAAGAAAGACCTACGACCCAGGGAGCAAACAATGCACTCATCAGCAAAAAAAAACAACCAACAAACAAACAACCCCCCCCACCAAAAAAACAACAACAACAACAACCCAACCCCATCCAGCTGAACCGTGTGTTTAAAAACATGTTTGTTTTTTTGTTTGTTTTTGTAAAGTGTTTTGCGGCGCTCGCAACTGCATACGGTCATATGAGCGCGCGGGACACATCTAATATTTTCAGTTGGTAGGAAATTTTGAATTTTGCCCTGGTGGTGGCCGAAGACTACTCTTATCGATATTAGACCACCAAAGGGTCTTTAACGTGCGCAACTTGCACACGGGCTCTTTGAGATTTTTTGCCCTTGTCCGAGAAGGCTAGGTGTAGATCTTTCCTACCAGAAGATCAGGGGTGTGGCAGAAAGACAGCAGTAAGGAGGAGCCAAGGAGTAGCAGTAGAAAGGCTGCAGAAAGAGTCAGGAGCCCAGAGGAGGGGGCAAAGGAGGTGAAGGGGTGGGGGCAGAAAGTGGAAATGAAAGCAGACAACAGAACAATGCTAGAGAGCAGGAAAGGGGGTGAAAGGAGACAATTTTAGAGAAGAAAATGTTTCGGTCGCTACCGGATTCGAACCCGGGACCTTTGAATGAGAGGCCAACACCTTAACCTCTAGGCCACGAGAGCCCCCTTTAAAAACATAAACGAGCGTATCTGAGAGACGGACGCATCGTTGTGACGAAAGCAGCCAGGACAGCGAACTGTTATTAAGTTTTGTAGACTACCAACTGGCAACTATAAAAGCGGTTTTTCAACCAGGATATCACCTTTCAAACCAGTTTAATCGTCAATAAAGATCTCAAGGTCTCTGTCTGCAAACAGTGATTGCCTTTTTCTTTGTTAATTAAGTCATCAGTCATCATGATATTATGTTATCAGTAAGTTGATGATTTACTCTAAAGCTTTCGAAAACAACCGTCTATACTTTCATTCCTCTCTTCACTCTTTTCCACCGACATTTTCAGCAAAAATAATTATGATTTACTTAATACTGAGTCCACATAACGACTGGCAATTTCAGTCTGTCATTTAAAACGGATCCATAACTTGAGAAACTCAAACACCCGAGACAGAAATGAATGACGGCATTTTAAAAACAATAAATATTATAAATAAATAAATAAGTAAATACAAAAATAAAACAATAAATCTATTATATAAAATAACATGATTAGCGAATCAAAAAAGCAAAATTGTATCTATAAATACATAAATAAAATGATATACGTGTATCTAAATAGATCTTACCCCCCCCCCCCCCCCCCACAAAAAAAAAAACAAAAAACAAAAAAACCCCAAAACAAACACACACACACATAAAAACAAAACAAACAAACAAACATGAAAAAATAACCCATCCAACCTGCAAATATAGAGACCCCACGCAATCCTTGTATCATTTCATTTTCTGTCAGGTTTACCCACGGGCAAAAATGGAAAATTAAGAAAGAATAAATAACGAAATAAACCAGATAAAAGAAAAGGCGCATGAATACATGACATACAGAAAGAAACAAGTCCCACCCCAGACTGCTCGTCTCTTTTTCTCTGTTCCCTAAAAGAAATCTTGGACGCGCACCCGCCGATGTCTCCAAAAGCGGGTCTCAACTCATTTAGCCACCAGGGGACGCCCCCGTCACCTCCCCCCTCACTCCCTTGACTCAGGGGGCGCGCGCGGCTGAGCGTGAAAATTAACCTGACCCAATTTGCACTTTGCAACAAGACAACTTCGTTCATTAGCGCGGGGGGACCCGAGAGAGTCGTGTGTTAGGAATACTGAACACCCCACCGGGGGCCGGCGCTCACTGGGGGTCGCCCGGATGTTGACAGACTCCAGTTCCAGGGGCCAAAAGGTTTTATCTACCTTATTATCACCACACGCTGATCCAGAGTGAAAAAGGACGTATCTGCAACTTGATAGAAATTTGTGTGCAGGTGAAACCCGACGCCCACACGACAATTTTCCATTTATGATACATTACATCGCAGGTGGACGGAATCGTCTGGTCAATGGACTACTACTATGTGGTCGAGTTTCTTTAACTCTATCCGTACGTCATGTTTTACTATCGTATCCACATGACGTGGGGAACTCTGTGCCACCACTTTCAAAAGAGGAAATTTACTCGTTAATCCGATCCATACGCTTTGCAGCCTGCCTCCTAAATGGCTCAGCTCGTGTCGATGGGGGCGTTGAACATTGACGATCGCTGGAGCTGGGGAGACCTGTTTTAGTAGAAGTTTTACGGCGCTCGCAACTGCATAAGGTCGTATGAGCGCCAGAAGATTAGAGGTGTGAGAAGAGAGTAACAAACATAAAATAAAAGAAGAAGGGGAGATAAGGACGATATATGTTTCATAGGAAAAAAGAAGCAAACCACTACAGAGCACCCGTCAACCACCCACTTTGGGAGACCACCAATGAGTCGAACCAGTTCGGAAATCCCGGCGAGTCGCCACTTGGACGCCCACACTTCGCCAGGCGGTTGCTCCACCAGTCATAGTACTTGTAGTCGTAGGGATAATGACAGGAAGCTGGCAATGTGTTTCGTGATCCCAAGATTAGTGACCAAAGGTTGTTGTTTTTTCAGAATCTATAATTATCCTGGGGGGGGGGGGGGTATCCATTATCTACATGCACAAGAATATTTTCAGATGGCTTATCCCAGCCACGATTGAGCAATATGTACATTTCGTATTCATTTGACCCTACAAGACCTCCACAGGAGCCCAACATTTACAAAACAGGCTAAGCTTGCCTTTTTAACCCTCCAACCCTCACCAATCCCCCCTTCCAACCCTCTTCCCCCCACCCCCCACCCAAAAAAATTCAAAAAAAATTCAAAGCAACAAAACAACACGACAAACATACAAAAGCAGAGTTTTTCTGTTTTGTTTTTTTTCAAAATTCACTTCACCATCAAGCTATAATTTGGCGGTGCGACTATTCTTTAAGGAAAGCAAAATAAAACACCACAATGTACTGCAGTCCATGACGCTGACTTTGCAAATGATTATTTCAGCAAACTGCTCAAAACGAATACGGCAGACGGGAGAGGGTTGGGGGGTGTTAGGGCGCAGAGAGAAAAACGAAATAATAAAACAAAAGGAGACATGCCAAAAATATTTTAAAAAATAATATAAAAAACAGAAATGCAAGAAAAACAACAAAGAAACAAAAAGAAATAAAATGAAATAAAATAAAAATATTTCCGACGAATTTCTCAGACATGGCGTAGGTCACTGGGGAGTGAAAAGTTTCCTAGATGAGGCGGAGATGACGTTTGGGGAACCTGGCAGAACTGTAATATGTAATAATGGAAGGG